ACCGTAGGAATAATCGCCGTAGAGGCTATAAAGAACCATAATGAGGACCAATAAAATTCAGCCCTAAGGTACAAAAAACGCGCGGTTGTCGAGAGATTGGACTCCTGTGTATGGCATAGGACACAAAATCCTAGCCAATATTAAAAACCGATTAAAGACAAAAGCTAGTTTTATATCCATAAAGGTTTCAGAGCTCGTATCGTAAGGGAGAATGATGCACAGCCTTGAGAAATTCCTACTTTGGAGAGTTTATGAAAACTAAACATGAAAGAGTTGGGGCAAAGTGCTTGTCGAGGCGGTCTTAAACTAAGCTTGATAATATACTTGCAATAAAAATTTCAAAAACATGTGCTTTACCCATAAAACTGGATTCTTCCATCAGTGGGTGCTATTGATCAAACTATATGAATGAAACAAGTTAAAATACGCCTTACAGGTCGAGGTTGTAGTCTATTACTCTTATATTTAGCATGTTTAGAAGTGCTCTTTCATTGGTTTTAATAAATATTGTTATTTTCGGTCTCCATTGAGAATCGGTTGACAATTTGTGATTTTTGGCCTAAAAACTAAACTATGCACTTCAGGCTATTAGTATAAAATTGGGGTTGTAAAAGCTATTAAAAGATTTCAGAAGTTAAAATTGCACGATTCCTTCCAAGTTGTTGACATAGACAAATCGACATATAAGAGCTACTCGTGGTAGCGTTGTCCTTTGTGGTTTGTAGCGGGCAGTCTGAAGAGCCAGAGTTGCCATTTGGCTGTTCGGGTATGGGCAATAGCCCGGGATTTCCGGAAGCTCAGTCTCCCTATCCTGGGGGTCGACGACTATCAGACAAGGCAGTTCCTAAAAACGACAATTTCGAAGTTCGTTGGCACCGATTTGTTGAGTCATTGGATGTAACTGATGAAAAAATGAAGCTTATTGAACAATTGCCCCATCCGCGGAAGTTGGAACTAGTTTTAAACTATGTATCGTGATCGTTTCCTGATTTACCGATATTAGGAACTAAATACAGTCAAGTTTTCACCAGCACATTGCGTGGAGAGCATTAAGATGGCTCGAATATCACAAATTACGGTATGCTCTCTACAGTCTTTCTACAACACTTTAGGCATCCAAGCGAAAACAAGATCATGATGATTTTCGGAAGATATTTACCTCTGCAGAGATATCTTTGCGCACAAACAAAATCGAGTGAGTTTTCACTTCACTAATCTTACACTTGAAGGTGGGTTTTGGAATTTCTAGAGCACCATGGGCTGGAAGCGATTGTCGCCTTTATGGGTGATTCCTTGAAATACCTTTCGAGGTAATAGGCATTCATATTTCACTTACTTCCTCAGAACTGATACCTTCCGAAGCACACAACTGCACGCGGACACAACTCGTCGCAAAGGTTCGATGTCCGTGGAGGAATTTGCGCCCTCATCGTTGGCTCGTCGGGACCCTTCAAGCCCAGCGAAATCAAAGAACACTCGTGGTCCCAATGATAAACCTCCACCTACTCCAAACTTCTCCCTGAGCCGCAATAAATCGGCCTCGCCCACTTTGAAAAGTCAAAACATGCCGTTGTCTACCTCAATGACTCTCGAAACTCTAAAGGATTGCCTTCATTTGTGTCTTAAATGCTTTAAAACACTGCTTAATAATCAGGTTAGTGAATTTCGTCTCCCACATCTTAATTTTTAAAACTTATAATTGTGCTTCTCTACTCCGCTTAGGATGGGTGTACGAAAGCTTTTGAAAACCCCGAAGTGATCGAAATTATCACGTTTTGCATTTTGCATCCGAATTATGCGTAAGTAATCCCATGCAGTCTTGTAGCGTTATCTGAAAATGGAAATATGATTAATCTTTTTCATCTCTTGCATTTAGGACAAAGGCACTGGCTCTTGATTTGCTTTCAGCGATTTGTCTTATCGGAGGAGGTCATCCCAGAGTGCTAAAAGCATTCGATCACTTTCGTCGTACGATCGGTGAAAACGCGTGCTTCGAGACTGTGATGAATGATTTCAGGGTTCATGAAGACCTTCCACTGGACCAATACAATCTGGAGTATTCGGTCAGTTCAAACAGTTTTATCAAGCCATTGTCTGAGACCATCTCCTTACCAGGTCGCATTATTCCTTTTGTTCCAAGGTGGCCTGCATTCAATTCATCAACATCGTGGTTCATTCACCCGAAAACATAAACCTTCGAGTTTATCTGCAGTATGCCTTTACCTTGCTTGGTCTTGATGACTTTTTGCGGGTAAGTTAACGTTTCTTCACAACGACTTCCTGTACTTAGTATAATTTATCATAATCATTTTGGTTACCATTTCCAGTTCATTTCACTCATTGGTCTTGGTTATTTAGCTAAGGCTACCCAGCCATCATACTACGTGTGTTACTAAACCGGTACCTCCGAGATACTAATTATTAAGCAGGACGGAAAGGATGGTTCTTTCTTTAGCAGGATGCTTTTGAGAAGAATTAGGCTTCATTTCCGGGCTAATTACATGTTTAACTTGGTTTAAATTTTAATCGATCAATTCAGTTTAATATTTCTACACTCGTTAGTTTAACTACTGGGACATCAATGCAAAACATTTCGTCGGGTCTTCGTATGGTTTTCATAATTATCTTGTGCTACTTTCAATTTTAGTACATGTCGAAGTTGCGCCTTATGCGATAGACATGGCTGCAACTTGCCCCTTGCCACTCCAAGATTCTTTTCGTCTGTCTATAAGAGCAGCTAGTTAAACACCTTTAGTTGAAACATCGGAGTTGACAGTCATTTACCCAGAAGGAAGAAGCTGTTATTCACTTTCTCTGACATTTGTGTGAACTATTTGTGCAGGCCCTGCAAGCTCGACCAGGAGACAAGTTAAATCGACATGTAGAGGCTTATGTGAATAACATGGTCAACTGCTCTCTCCTTTTGGACGACGCAGAGGCCAAGGAGGCTGCCGTTGAGGAGGTTTCTCGTCTTGAGGCTGCCCTGGAGGCCTCTGAGAGCACAGCTAAGCAACAGGCCGCTTCGTTTAAAGTGAGTCAGTGTTTATTATTGCTTTCTCTACACTGGAAGGAACCCTGGTTTTTGCAAAACGTTCGCTAAATTAGGTTTCCAGGTAATGTTTAGGAGAAGCATACTTATTCTTGATAAAGAGATGATTTAACAGACTGAAACATTTTGCCGCTTTGAGGTTGCTACTGCAAATAATTATGTTGAAATGTGGTAGTGTAATTTGCTGGCCCTTCTTTTGCGTGGCTCATCGTTTTAAGGAAATGTTTTGTTTATTGCATAGATGGCAGAGATGTTGTGACATGTCTGATTGCAGTCCCATGAGCCTTCAACTATCAATTTGAACTAAACGCACACAAAATGACTTTGATTGACATCAAACAGTTACATATATCCCATCCTAAGGTTCTTTTTGAACCAGTGATTTCATTGCTCAAAAATGATTTTCAAACATGAATTTTTTCTTCTCTGGCAAGTCTCCAGATTAACTAACATTTACTTTCTGGATAGTGGAGTTTACCCTTTTGTGCTATGGCAACTCCCAACCTTATTACTCTTGCAGCAAGTCACATGGATTGATAAATTTGGGCCACCAGCTGTAGACCGTCGGTCTTTGGCCAGTAGATGATTTTTTTGCTAATCGACAATTAAACCAGTTATTTTTGCACACCTCAACTCAAACCCATTTGTTTTTTCTCAAATGGAACGGTGAGTTGTGGCCTCCCCAAGTCGCGTGGGGCAGCTGGGGAGTTAGTGTTTTTCCTCGCTATTAACCAGCTCTTGAACTTACGCTTGTGATCCACGAATTCAAGTGTACCCGTAAGCCTGATCAAACTCTTATTCCCATGTCCAAAAACGGTGGGGCCTTTTCCTTGGCCATTTTTTTTAAAATTGAGAATGCGTTTTGAGTTGGTTTGTAAAGTGCTAAAATGTGGGAATATGCTACAATTTCATAGTTTTGAATTTTTGTTGTCTACGTACACCTCACTACGGATACCTTTGTATTCGTTTTCAGCAAAGAGATATAGCTCTTTCGGAGCTGGTTGAATCACTTCGCGGAAAGATCCGTGACATCAACGTGGCAGCAGGCCAACAGGAGGCTGCAAATAAACGCATTACGGAGCTCGAACAGTCTCTTGCTGCAGCACATCGTCAGATCCAGCGCCTGCAGGATGTCGCTGCTGCTATTAACGCAGCTGGGGTTGATACGGAGACTAATAGTCTGGGTCAAGTTAGACCTGCGCCGAACCCGAGGCAGAAGAAGCCTTCAGTGTGTAACATGACCACCTCTACGACCCTCCCAATGGGCTTTGAGTTTGCTGCTGCTGCTGCTGCTGCCGCAGAGAGTCAGCAGGAGGCAACGGCTGCAGGGAAGCTGAATGCTTCTCCTCCCACAGTGGAGTCGCGTCGCAAATCCATGTCCCTCGAGATGCTCTCCACCACTAATCGGTCCACGATGGACAGCGAGAGTGGCACTCCCTCCACCTTTCCTCTCTCCTCTGCTGCTGCCTCATCTCGTCACTCATCCGCCTCCTCTGAGGTGAACTATGATACGTTCTCGCGAAAATCTGGATCGATTGCGGAGAAACCGCGTCACGGCCTTATCTCTTGCACGCTTATCTCGCAAGGTGGGTTCACGATCCTCGGATTTCTCACTTTGTTTCTGCCCCAATGATTAAGCTACGAAAAATTACACCCAGGTTAAAGTACGATGCAAAAAATTCTACCCGCATTACTTATTTAATCATTTTCGTATTTTCGCCAATACTTTTCTTAAGACTGCCGATTATGTATTATTCCGTGTACTCTCTGATTAAACGGCGACCACAGGTTCATTTGCATAGGGAATACCCTTGACTGCTGTACAGGCAAATTTTTTGTAGCAATGTTTTATAGAAGTTAGGGCGTTGCTGAGCCAAGCTCCAGGAAGTGTCCATCCGGCTGCCAGTTTGTTTCATTTATACCCTCCCATTATTTGCATTAGTAGGGAGGTAATGTTTCTCTTTTTTTGCCTAAAGCACTTTTACCCTGTTCAGATTTAAGTGGACATTTTCAGTGCCATGGTTGCTTTCAGTGTAGAAGGCAGTTTATCATGCTTACGCCAATCATTTTATTAGGTTATTTTTTTCAAAGGTGGAGAATGTGTCACAGCAATGAGGGAATATGTCCACGCCGTAGTTTAGTCGTAGGACGATACCAACACACTTCCGCTCTGAACTGTTTATTTTTACAGAGTAAGTTGTGGAGCTTCCGTCACGTTAGTTCTCGTATTCCCTCGGCCTTATGGCTCCTGGACTGTGTAAACAACATTCACATGTTCTCTTCATTTTTATTAAACTG